CATGTGAAAAACACTATGTATATGGACCGTCTGCTCCTGTTCCAAGCTAATGCACCACATAGGTATGAACTAAGCGAAACCGAAGTTTAGAATTTTCAGTGCTACGATAGGTGCCTAAGTATGTAGCTGCCCCAGAACTCGGAACCTTCGTCTAACGGATAACTCAAGGAATCATTTCAATCGTGAAAAGTGCCTTCAGAGTTTTAGGAGCGTTAGGTGAAAAGTGGCCCTGGCACAATAGTACTTTCTTGATTCAATGAAAACAAGAAGGAGTAGCAGCTCTAAACATATGATCAATCTAGAGAAATACGTGATCTTCTTACCTTTATAGGAATTCAAAAATCGTTCCAAATACTTAAGGATATTGTTGTGTGAGTTAGAGCAGGAGGCAGTTTCATGAGCTATCTTCAGCTTTCTGTCCATCGTCACCAACAAATCAAACGGTCTGCAAGAGATATTATGAGGATAGGTAAGGCCTCAGGTTGTCGTCAAAGTTCGAATACGAGATTAAAAGTGCTTTTCAAATGCTCTCAAATCCCGAAGTCTTGAACCTTATACCCAACAAATGTAAAGAAAACAGGTGCAAAGTCCAAGAAGCAACCCATAACTATCACTAAAGATTATCTTTCGTTACCTATAGCAATTGATGGAGGCGTAAATTCAAATATCAAAAGTATGGCTATAATGGTGAAATGGGGACTGAACCATTGCAATCTTAACAATAGAAAGCTAGCAGTCCAAATGAGTCATCATTTACTATGATCTGGCTCATTCGAAGGCTCAGGGCTTTGGACTCTTTGGTTTTCCTCAACTGGCGGATCACGGGAAATTTTATACTTCAACTCTAGGTCCTACCAATCTCAGCATGGGCATAAGTGGTCTAACGGAGTAGCGAAATATCCGAATGCATGGTCCGAGCCAAAATCTCGAAAAGCACTACAGAAGATACCTGTAGGTGTGTTGGAATTCTCGATTTTCCAGTCCTACACAGTTCGGGAAGTTGAGCAGACTGGCTGAGTAGTCTTGAGCACCGAATGTCTACAAGAAATGTTCATTAACTGCAACACGAATTCAAAATGGACTATGGCATGTTGTCGTTTCTCAGAAAAGAATTAGAGTAGCCCAATCTGAGGTTGCTCTGAAAGGCAACACAATCAGACAGATGCTCTCTTCTGCAAATCATTACAAATTCCAGCATATCTATACCACCACTCCTTACCTCCCTTGAACGGTAGGCAAAATTGCAAGTCATTATCTAGGCT